TGGAGTAATTTGGAAAGTGGTTGCGGAGGGAGGGTTTCCTGCCCTTCCTGCGAACCTTTCCACTGCGGACGCGGGGGAGAACATCTGCCTCTCTGGGGGCGCTGAGGGTTTGCTCCCAAAGTGTCGTCGGGCAGAGGTCTCAGCCTCAGGCCCCTGGGAAGGGCGCTCTGATGTCGTGATTCTGAGCCGGTATCGAGTTTTCCCAGGCGCACCCCCTTCCCTTATCTATCAGCCCTCGATAAAAGGGCCCAGCAAGTTTAAGTCACTGTTCCTCAACCCAGGGTGGGTTTCAACTGAGTTTTGTTATTTGCTTACTATCTTTTCTGATGAATTGAAAAAAAACTGGCTTATGCATCTTGATGGAGTGAAAGCCTCCTTTAGTTGCAGGGTACCTGGATTTCAGAACGCTGTCCTCACTTTTACGTGGGTTGTGTGTGTTTCCTGCAGAGGATCCCTTCTCCCCGTGAGCATATTGGCTAGACTAGAGAGATTTACTACCCCACTGTGGAGCCCAGGAAACGATTCAGAGAGTTCCAGTGACTTTGCCAAGAATCAGAGCTGTTAAAGTAAAGAGGTAGGAATCTGTGGTAGCCACCCTAGAAAGCCAGAATAGAGCTCCACCCCAAATTCCATCAGGTATAGAAACTCCGTGATCTCTCTCTCTCTCTCACACACACACACACACACACGCACACAGCATGAAGGTATTACTTTCATAATCGAGGTCTCCAGGGAGAGTAGGAGAGACTTCTCAAGCAGGTCCTAACTGGCTGAAAGGGCCAGTAGGTGGCCTACAGTTTAAGATAGCTGGATCTCACATAGTGAACTCTATGGTTCAAGTCCCCAACCCAGCAGCTTGAAAATCATGCCAGGCACGTGTGCGTGTGTGCTCAAAATCCTGAGAGGATAATGGAAGAGAAGCTGTTGTTGTGTAACCAAGCCCCAATGGGAGGCACTTGCTCTGGATAATGCACGTACCCTCCTTTGGCAGTTAATAAAAAGAGATCTATAAAGGTTGTGAATGATGATAAAGCTGTTGAGGAGCTGTATGGGTAGCCCGGTGAAGCTGTATCACGTCCCTCTGGAGGTGAAGGCAAACTCTGGCTGAGAGGTTGTTGAAAGAGGCATTGAACAAATAGAATATATCAACCAAATCCATAATATCAAAATGTTTACTAGTTGCTAACCAGTAATTTCAATAATACTGCAGGGGGGCCAGCACACAGTGTAGTGGTTAAGGCGCTAGACTCCCATGTGGTTGAACATGGTCTGAGTCCTGGGCTTGGTGTCTTCAAACTCATGTTGGGCGCGTGTGCGTGCGTGCCCAAAATCCCAAGAGGAGAATGGAGGAGAAGGGATTGTGGGATGGCCATGCCCCCAGGGGGTGCTTTCTCACTTTTTCTCTCTCCGCCTCTCCAGTGAGTGCATGCACCCTATAGGAAGAATCTCTGTCTCTCAAAAAAGAAATTGTATTGAGCGTAGGGGTATTTAAGGATAATACCACAGCACTAGGGTGCAGCAATCAACCAGGAGTCACCATTTGTTCTTTCTAAGTTTAATAGGGCAAATTGGGCTGTTTTATGGAGAAACAGTAGGGGTAAATACTCTTTAATTCATTAGGTCTTAGATAATGGGTTTTGATATTTGACAGGGGTAATGACTCTTTCACTACTTAAGTCTTATATAGGAACTTGTTTTAGTTTTATACTGGGCTTTTTTTTTTTTTTTTTAATTAGGGGTTGGGGATAGAGGACCATGGGATTTCTCAGGTTTTTTTTTTTTTTTGGAGAGGTTTTCACTATAGGGCGCGTGCGCTCGCCAGACAGACAGAGAAAGACGTAGAGACAGAAAGCGAGAAATCGCCCCCCAGAGGGGATGGTCACGCCGCAATCCCTTCTCCTCTCAGGATCTTGGGCATGCACGCACACGCGCCTGGCGTGAGTTTTAAGCCACCGGGTCCGGGACACAAACCGTGGTTGACTACGTGGGAGTCCAGTGACATAGCCATTACGCTAACTGCTGGTTCCCGAGATTTCTCATTTTTTTAAAAGCCAATTTGTAAGCTCCAAAGACTTGTTTTAAATTTAAATGATTACTTCTTAGGTTAGAATGTCCATGGCCACTGTGGGATATTTTAGGGCAATGCGAACCATGACCATGGGGAATTTGGGCAATAGTTCTGATGGTTAAGGTGAGGCATACTATTTGTTACCTATTTTATGTTTAGTAACTACCCTAAGAGTATAGGGGATTCTGTCTTAGACTGTTTTCTCTTGCTATAATAGAATACCAAAGACTGCATAATTTATAAAGAAAAGAGGTTTATTTTGATTTATTTTTGTGTACAGTTCTGGAGGCTGGAAGTCCAAGGTTGGGCAGCCAGCCACATTTGGTTGAGGGCCTTACACTGTGCCATAACATGGCAGATTGTGTGTCAGAGCGCTGAGCAGGTGCATGCAAAAGAGGCAAAACATGAGGGGTGGCCTCACCTTACAACATCCTGCTCTCATGAGAACTAATCCATTCTCTACAGAATTAATACAGTCCCACAAGAATTAATCTAGTGTCATGAAAGAACTAACCCAGTCTCCTGAGAAAGACATTAATGTATTTTAATGACCTAATCACCTCTTAAAGACCCTACTTCCCAACACTGGCATAATTGGAATCAAATATCAACTTGAGGGACCAGCAGTTGGTGTAATGGCTATGTTGCTTGATTCCCATGTAGTCAACCGTGGTTCAAGTCTCAGACCTGGTGACTTAAACTCATGCCAGGCATGTGTGTGTGCGTGCCCAAGATCCCAAGAGGAGAATGGAGGAGAAGGGATTGCACCGTGGCCATCCCCCCTGGGGGGTGATTTCTCACTTTCTGTCTCTCTGTCTCTCTCTCTCTTTCTGGCAAGCGCATGAGCTCTATAGCAGAAACCTCTCAAAAAAATATATGTACTTGAGTTTCTCAGAGATAATCCGTATTTAAAACATAGCAGATACTGTCTTTTAATGTAGTGGGCTCTCCAGGTGTAACTATAATTTGAGGACCAGTATTGATTAAAGCTATGGAGATTTGCCAATTGACACATTTCAGCAGATATTTTTCAAAAATTTATTTATTTAATTTTTAATTTTTAATTTCATTTTTTTATACAGTCAATCACATTCTCTTTTTTTCTTTTTGAGAGTTTTTTTTTTGCTATAGGGCGCGTGCACTCGCCAGACAGACAGACAGAGACAGAGAGACAGAAAGCGAGAAATCACACCCCAGGGGGGATGGTCACGCTGCAATCCCTTCTCCATTCTCCTCTCGGGATCTTGGGCACACATGCACACGTGCCCAGTGTGAGTTTTAAGCCACCAGGTCCGGGACATGAACCACAGTCGACTATATGGGAGTCCAGCGACATAGCCATTATGCTAACTGCTGGTCCCCAGTCAATCCCATTATTTAGCTTACGAAGTGAATATTTTAACATGTGAACATTTGTCTCTAGTCCAGTTGACTAAACTATAAAATATCTTTAACAGAAATTGGCACGTGTCTTTGTCCCATTAATGCTTTTCCTCCCCATTTTTCTTCTAATTGTTTTTCCTCAAGCCCTAGTCTTTCACACACAAGATATCTGTATTTACATCTGTTTACTCTGTTTCTGCTCATTGAGAACCTGTGCTGTAGAGGCACAAAAGCTAATCTTACCTTTTGTTGTATAAACTTTAATAAGTTTGTATTTCCAGTTAAGGCAAATTATGGGCTTCTGTTTCAGTTTGTGTGTTTGTTTTCTCCCCATTTAGGCTTATTTTTTTTCTTTCTCCATCCCTTTTTGAAGGTTACTGGATATACTGCAGGTGGGGGGCATGCCCTTTCATATTTATGAATTTCTCCCGGAGAACCTCAAATTAATATCATTAGGATTATGGGCTCACTGCTGCCCCCTGCCCCCCAGCTGTTGGCAGTGTTTACCTTACGGGGTTAAGAACTCCGGGCTTAAGCCAGGTTGAGTTATCTGTTGCACCACAGGGGTGCCATGGGTGGTGTTCTCTATTACCCTGGGGATCAGGAGCTTTGTTATGACAGAGGCGTGGGTGGGGCTTCAGTGGGCAGCAGCAGCAAAAGCAGAATTTGAGGGTCCTGGTGAGCTATGCGCTCTTATAATGGCTCTTTCCTTCGCCTTTTGTCTCTTGTCTTTTTTTTTCTAACTCCCTAATGACTGCTCTTTTATGAGCAACCACCTGGCAGGCCCACTTCTTGAACAGAGTATAATCATTGCCCAGAGCACCCGATAGATTAGGGACCAGTGCCTGACTGAGACATCCGACTTGTTCATTTTAACTCTATTGCTTGTATAAAGCAGAGGTGATTTATTCATTTCCCTATCGATGGACAGGGAGGTTATTTCTGTTTTCTTTCAAACATCCTTGACTCCATGTATATATTCAATTGCTGGGTTATAGTATTTGCCTGACTTAGACCCTGCTGGGCATTGCAAATTGTTCTCCAAAGTGGTTGTACCAACTAACACTCCCAATAGATTGCATTTTTTAAGAGTTATTTTATTTAACTTTATTGATCCATTTATTTTCATTTGACCAGAGAGAGACAGAGTGAGAGAAAGAGAGAGATAAAATGAGAAGGCAAGCTGCCAGGTCTGGGACTTGAACCACAATTGGCCATGTGGGAGTCCAGCACTCTTAACCACCACGCCACTTGCTGGCCCCGTACATTTTTATTGTTTAATTGTTCCTCTGGCAGACTGTGACTTTCTGTAGTCCGAGGATTCTGCTATGTTCGTCTTTGTATCTCTAGTGCTAATTAATTACCTAGCAAATAGAAACAGTTAGAAAATAGTTGTTGCATGTATAAATGTATGAGCTATAGAAGCAAAAACATTGATTATTGTCTTCTGTAAGTTTATTTTTTAAAATTAATTTATATGTTTAAACATTAACTCGTTTTTTAGAATGGGCATTTCTCAATAACTAATTTGTTTGATACTAATTTCCAGAAAATAAATGAAGAAGATTCAAGCCTTGCCACTGAGTTACAGGAAGTACAGGAAAATCCTAGTCCACCTGTGGATGAGAATAATACAGCATCAGCTAAAAAACAGGGACCAAATCTGCATAACTGGAGTGGTGACTGGAGCTTTTGGGTAATATGTTTCCATTTTTATATCTTCATTTTAATCTCAAAAATTAGAAGTAGCAAAATAACTTGTTTAAACTTTCTTTAAACCTGTACCAATTCACATAATACTTATATTTTCTTATTAGCATCTAGATTTTAGACATTTGGGTTTAGTCCAGAGTCCCAAAGACATTCTGGGTTGTGCTCTCCTTTGACCACTAGTATGCACTATTGTCTGATTTGATGGAACGTCTGCTTCAGATTCCTTATGAGAAATTGCACCACAGGGCTGGACCCCACTTACATCATCATTCATTGTGTAAGCAGGAGACCAGCATCACACACACCACATTTTAAATGTTACTGAGAAACCAGCAAGTTTATATCATGTTGGTTTAAAAAACTTAGCTCCTGTACCTGGACAGATGTTTAACAGTGTTTGGCCTGTAGCGTGTGAAGACTGTGGATTGGGTTTCTAAGTCAGCAGTTTCGTATTCAGTTTGCACTGACTCTCTTGGTTGTGTGAGGTGGATGTGCTTCAGGTTTCCTCTCCGTAAAGTGAGACCGCTGCCTGTTGATTACGCAGCTGAGACCTTAGCGATCAAGAATCACGTTTCTGTTTCCACACAAAGGTTAGATGATATATGTATAGCATTCTAAATCTAGCAAGTGCTGTCAGAGTTGTGAGCCATTTGGTAGAATCTCATATAGTATACCTGTAAGTAATTTATAAGATGTTAGGTTATAAGGCATATGTAGTTCCAATATTAGTTCATAAGAAAGCTGATTTCTAGAGGATTAGGTATTCTATTAGAAAATAGTAGATTTTCTTAAGATTTTAGAGTAGACTAAAAAAAAGACATAATATTAATAGGTTATAATGATTAGTACAAAAGTTATGTTCGTAATAAGCAGGTTAGTTCATTGAATGTTAATTGAATCTTAAGATGACCAACAGCTTCTGATTTCCTATTAAGAAATTAACATTGTAAGTATCTTTTAGTCACGTTCTTTTTTTTTAGATAGATTTTTGCTGTAGGGCGTGTGCGTTCGCCAGAGATAGAGGGAGACAGAGAGACAGAAGGTGAGAAATCACTCTCCGGGGGGATGGCCATGTCACAGTTCCTTCCCCTCTATTCTCTTCATGGGATTTTGGGCACACACACATGTCCAGTGTGAGTTTAGGACCCCAGGTCCAGGACTCGAACCGCAGCTGACTACATGGGAGTCCAGTGACATAAACAGTACACCATCTGCTTGTTCCTCTTTTAGTCATAGTCTAAGGGAGACATTTAATTGCTAAGTAAAATAGCAAAATAACTTATTCTAAAAATCATGTCATCTATATTGACTATATTATTTTTGGTCACTTTTAGAAAAGGTTTATATCTATTGCAGTGTTTTGACCCTTCTTCAATGTGATTTTTATGACTTATGTTATAGACGGGGCAGCCTTTCTATGGGGCTAAGGAGTTACTTTGGTTACCCTTGGCAGACTTAAAGCCAGAAGAAAACAACACATGAAAGGGAAAAACAAACAAACAAACAAAACAAAACACACACACACAAGGGAATGAGAGAATTCAGAAAAAGAAGAGAGATAAAGAGAGAAATGTGTTTTCCATCCTGGCCAGAATATGGTTATGTGGGGCAGCAGACCTGGCATCGCCTGCCAACCAATTTGAAATCCAGAATCTGGGCCCAGCCTCAGAACTACTGCATCAAGATCTTCACTTTTCACAAGATTTCCATTTGATTTGCCTGTATTTAAAGTTTGAGAAACACTAATTTATGGTTATCACGGGCCTTTGGATCCTCTCTTTCTGTCTGCTCAGGCCCACTCCTGCCTCTCAGGAGTGTACTTTTACTTTTACTACATAAATTATCTTTTCCTTACATTAAAAAAAAAAAAAAAAAAAGGGCCTACTTTGTTACAGTTTGGGCCCCTAAGCTGATTGTTGACACTTTATTTTGAAGATTTTTTTTGTGTGAATTCACAGAGAGTAGACTTAAAGACAAATACAGCATCTCAGTTTTACAGAGTTTTCTAAAGGTCACTCACCCAGAAACCAAAACTAAAGAACTCAGAAGTAAGGGACCAGCAGTTAGCGTAATGGCTATGTCACTGGACTCCCATGTAGTCAACAGTGGTTCGAGTCCTGGACCCGGTGGCTTAAACTCACGCCAGGTGCATGTGTGTGCGTGCCCAAGATCCCAAGAGGAGAATGGGGGAGAAGGGATTGCAGTATGGCCATCCCCCTGGGGGGTGATTTTTCACTTTCTGTCTTTCTGTCTCTCTCTGTCTTTCTGGCGAGTGCATGCGCCCTATAGCAAAAAAACCTCTCCAAAAAATAAAAAAAAAAAAAGAACTCAGAAGTAAACAACAGCAAAACCTCCCTGCAGAGAAGTTTGTGCTGATAAATCTGGTAATAACAGGATTCTTTAAATCTTTATTTGTATATAGTTTTCTTTATATAGTTTTGCCATCTTTTAGGAGATAAGGGATGTACTTGGTTTGACATGGACAATAGCAAGTAATGACAGAGACTCTCAAAAAGTGTAACAATCGAGGCCCTGCATTGGAAGCCAAAGGTCTACACGACTAAGTTGGTTCTTATACAGTTCTAGAACTGATAGACATGATGTTTAGGAAGTCTGTAAAATCAATAGTACATTTTTTTTAAATCCACCAGTTTCTACCGTGACTCTACCATGTTGCTGTGTTCATTTTCCCCATGATAATGTAAGAATTGAATAAGTAAATTAAGTTGAGGAAATTCACTGAGGGATCCAAAGTGACCACAAGGAAGACCTATAGCATAATAGGAAAACATTCATAAGACACATAACCTGGTATTTAAGCAGAGAGTTAAAAATGTCAGAACTGGGCCAGCGTTTGGCATGATGGTTAACAAGGGTAGACCCCACATGGCTGGCCACACAGTCTGAGTCCCAGATCCAGCTGCTTGAAAAATATGTCACGTATATGTGAACAACATGCTGGGTATGTGTGTGTGACCAAAATACCCAAAGGAGGGGAAAATAGAGGGA